GGTGTTTACAGAGGGGGGAGATGGTGGTGGCAGTAGAAGGACGATTGGGGGTAGAGAAGATGAAAGTAATATGGGGGTTGAGTGGTTAGAGGGGGGTAAGAGTTTTGCTACAGAGACAGCAGCAGCAACAAAACCCTTATTCACACTAAAAACAGCTCACCAAGAAAAAACATACGCAATGTTTAGATTATATGATAATAGAATACAAAAAGATAGTGTATATATAAGTGGTTTACATATTAGTTTATTTATTTTTTTAGCTATTTTTTCCGCTACATTTATAAATATATTTGTTTCTTTTTCTCTTTATAAAAATCAAATAAATACTGCACAAGATGAAATATATACAGAAATTTTAGAAATAAAAAATATAACTGTTACTTTAAATAGATTAAATATTTTATCTCATCATACACAAGAATATCAAGAGAGGAGTCTATACACTCCAAGTATGTTAATACCTTCATATCATCGTCGCGTTCTTTCTGTTTTATTTAATATAAACTCTAGAATTATAATAAGTTTAGAATATATAAGAAGCTACGATCAAGATATACGCGCAGCAACAAGCTGTATTTCTTCTTCTTCTCTTCTCTCCCAGCAGCAGCAACAGCAGCAGCAGCAGCAGCAGCAGCAGCAGCAGCAGCAGCAGCAGATAAGTACAAACTGTGCTATAGAACAACTTGCTTCGCACTTGCATGCAATAAACCCTGAATATGAAAAAGAGCTTCTTGAGGGTTTAATAAATATAAAACTACCACTAGCAGAAGAAATAGATAAACATTTATTAGAGTTATATCCTTCTTCTTGGGTTTATGTAACTGAGCCAGCAGAGTTTATATATAAAATAAAACAAACACAAAATATAGATAATATACTTATACTAGCTAATCAATATATACAAAAACTAGAATATATTATAAATGAACTAAATAATATAGATGTATGGGGGCCCCTTATTATCTCTATTTCTGTATATGGGGGCCTCTCTTTCTCTCTTCTCGTTATCATCGCTATTCTTATAGCCATCAAATCACGTATGTAAACCCTAAACCCTAAACCCTAAACCCTAAACCCTAAACCCTAAACCCTAAACCCTCATATTTAATGGCTAAACCCTTCGCAATTCGTCTCGTAACTCGTTGTGTTCTCAACTAGGGTTTAGGGTTTAGGGTTTAGGGTTTAGGGTTTGTGTTTGCTTTGTGTTGCATTTAATATTTTATTTAAAATATAAAAATACAAACCAAACAAAAGCTAATTTTGCTGTGTTAAAAAAAAAAAAAAAAAAAAAAAAAAAAAAAAAAAAAAAAAAAAAAAA